GTCTAAACTTGATTGGTAAGGCCTTGTGTCGCAGGCTCTGGTATAAAGCAAACTTGAGTTCTTCCCACCAGTCACTAGGTTTAATCCTCAGGAGTTTTCCCAACTTTCTGAATGGGGACACTGTTAGCCACTTTTGTGGTATTGTGAGTTTAAATAATTAAACAAAAATAAGATAGAATTGCCTTTACTTTAGAATGTAGAACAATAAGAGAATAGGCAAACACATTTCCATAAATATGTCTAGAAAAAAATTGTAAGTGTAAATTTCAGAAATTGAAGAAAATTAGTAAATGTTAGTGAGCAAATAAAACATTTTTAAATACTAAATCAAATTGGGAAATGTTTCTACTTCCTGAAAATTGAATTCTAGCTAAAGTGGGAGTCACTTAGAAATATTTTTAGTTAATAAGCTGCAACAATAATTTAATGAATGGCTTCAGGTTTATTCATTAATTGCATTTGATATCATGGTGTCTGTATTATGGGTTTTATATCCTTGGTAGAGAGTCACAGATATGCTTTCCATGCATTATAAGCTGCCAATAGGTGCAACACCAAACATATGCTCATTTAAGTTTTCATGCTACTGAATCTTTGAGTGAATATTCTCACCCTGATCATCAGTATCACTTAGAAGTTGATGGAATTCTTATTCAGCTTGCAAGTAGGCATTTAAAATTAGTTTTTTTCCCCACATTTCTTTGTGTGTGTGTGTGTGTGTGTGGTAAAGCAAAACTAGTAAATGCTTTACAAGTGAGAGTGAAGTTTGGCACCAAGGTGGAATATCAACAGTCATCACTTTTAACCACTTTTCCAGCAGACTTGGAGCTACTGTGTTTCTATGGGTACAACACCATTCAGTGATTTAGTATCAGGGCCATAGAAGCCAACTGCAGTGCTCCATCATATTACACAGAAACATGGAGATATACAGAAATACTCAAAATCCTAAAACAAAGTCTAGGATGTAAAAATTTTAAAAATGGCATAAACAAGGAAATACCAAAGCTGTAAATGTTTTTATTATAAGCATTATGTTTTCATTAGACGCTTTCTTAAGTGGTAGAACTTTAATGTCAAAGCAGTTTGTCCTGAGTTTTATCAGAACTCACCATTGATTGTCACATCCATCCTCAACCATTGCAGCGGTGAGGAATTTGATCTTGGGGAGGTTGTGGTGTGCATCCTGGGTGGGTGAAGTGTCCTAGAAGTCTGACAAAATACAACAGGGCAGGGAAAGGACAGTGGGAGCTTCTTGCCACTGTTTGATACCAGGTATAGTGGGCTGTGTGTGATTCAGTAAACTGAAGTGAACATACAGTAGGTGATGCTTGAGGAAGTGTAAATCCAACGTATTTAGAAATAAGAGGGGAAAGCACATACAATTAACTGTTAGCTGTGATAAAACTTCTTTTTGAATACTGCATTAGGTTGAACAATGGTTTTCTGCATGTGAGGCAGTTCCTTTATCATTGGGGTACCTGCCAGCTCTTAATTGATATAATTATCTTTTTAGTGATGCTGAAAACAAAACTGAGGTCCTTGTGCATGCTAGGCAAACACACTTCCACTTAGCCACCTACATTCTTGGCTTATGATAACAATTTTAAATTTTAAATTTTTAAATTTTAAAGCAAATGCTGTGACAGAAACTTAGAATGGCAGTCTAATTCCCTTAATTACTACAGAGTCCTCCTCAAAGGTCATGGCACCAGAGCTGGCCACTGAAAAGTGACTGCTGCCCCAACTTACCTATAGGAATGCAATGTTAGAATCAGCTGCTGCCCAGAACACAGTGCATACAGCAGCCTTAAGAGACTTCAGGTTTCAGGATCTGTCACTTGGGAACTGAGTTTCCATCAAATGTGGTATTGGTGGCCACAGATCCCTTTTGCCATCCATCTCCACCTCCAGCCTCTAGCACAGCAATCAAAGCATGGCTAGTGACTTGTGCTCTTATGTGCACCCCCTCTCCTCCAGAAAACTATGTGACCCTCACTTCTGCTGCTGGGATTCTGATTTCCTTTCTCCAGAACCCCTGCCTTGTTGTCTGTCTGGTGCTGGGGACTAAACTCCCTCAGAGGCCCTTTCATGCTGCTCCCAACTGTATGCCTGTCCACAGCATTAGTGACTTTTCTAATAAATTATTTACTGTCAACAATCCATCTAAGTGTCCCTTTGGACCAAAATCTGAGATCTTTCAATACTGAAAAAGAACTGAGCATCTTAGAACAGTTGAGAGAAGGGGTGTCCAGTAGCCTCTGCTAATGGCTGTGTCCTGCCGTAGCTCCAGGCTGATTTTAAATACAACCATTCTGAAGGGGTTGGCTGTTCTGTAAAATCAGAATCCTCAAAATAACCAAATGAAAACAAGATCCATATTTAGAAAGCTAAAACACCAGAGGAACCCAAAAGGGAAACAACCTATATTGGTAAACTTCTTAAAAGTTATATTGTGTTATTTCTGCAGCTAATCTGTGGCTCACATGAGAAGCTCATATTTTCATACCTAAACGTCGGTTGGAATTTGGAAATAACTTCATATAACTGATTTGTAAGTACAACTGCCTTTTAAACTTGATTAAATCCCTAATAATCATGACATCCTTATAGGGCAAGCCTGTTAGCATTTTACAGAATTATGGCATTGAAAAAGTAAGTGAATTGTGAGCCTTGTGCAATTAAATAACTTGAATTCATCTATTCCGAGTTATTATGCAGTTAAAGTTATCTAGCTTATGTTGCACTGTTGAAAACTTTAGCAGTTTTGTGCATTTGGGGAAGAAAAAAATTATATATATGAAACAGTTGTGTAGACCTGAAACTAAGTGATCTGCAAGAGGAGCAGTTTCCAGTTAAAAAATTAGTAATACCAAAGATTCTTCCACAGTAAGTCTTATGTATGATGTGTTATTCTAATGAAATCACAATCACTGAGCTCCAGTTCCCAGAAGTGTGCCTCAGACAGTGGGGTCCAATGGCTTACATCTAGAAAGTAATTCTCCAGACAACATTGTGCTCACTTTCTCTGTAGAAGAGATTTGTTGACATTCTCTTAGCATTTACGTTTTTTTTTTTTCCCACTGCAATAATTTTGAGAGCCCAATTTCCCTTCTGTAGAAAACCTATTGCCAAGGGAAATAATTCACCATGTGTCATGTGGAGAGAAGAGGCAAGTTGTATATAGTTCTATCTAGCTCAGTATCCTGTCTATTTCAAGAGGACAGGGTCATTTGATGGTAAGATGCTAACTTTATATGACCTTTTTTTTTTTTTTTTTTTTTTTTTTTTTTTTTTTTCAAGAAAATCTACCACTGAATAATGGAGGGACAGATGATGCCTAACAGTCTTTCATCCTAAGATTTAAGATTTGGAAACAGGTACCTGAGAGAAACTAGCTAAAATACCCCTGAGTATTTTCATGAAATTGATGTACATGCCATATTAGTCAACCTGACCCAAGATATCCTTCAAAATAAGGTAAAAATATAAGCATATGTAAATACCCTGGTCATTTTTGTACTTAAAATAATGATTCAAATTTTCATTATATGAAAAATGTATCAATTGTCAATGTCATTCAACAATAAGTTATTATAGATTGATAGGGTGTGGGTATATACCCTGTGCTTTTTTTAGTAAGTCTTTCTAGAAATCTTCATTTTCCAGCTGAATTGGGTTTATAATAGAGTGTAATTTCTTAGTCCCGTTATGCTATAGATAAAAAACACATGAAGGAAACAAACCAGCCCTTATTTCCTTTTTGTTGCCACAAATTTTTTTTGTATAATACATACATAATTCTAAAAATTAGAAAAAAAAGTGTAGGTAAATGTATGTAAAGGTTGCAAATAGTTATTTTGGTTTACATGTATTAAGACCTTTAGTTTAGTTTACATGTATTAAGACCCAGCCTGCCTCTCTCCTAGTGTACCAAGTGTTGTGGTTCATAAAAAGGGAACTGTTCTATAGTCACTGTGGCCCAATCAGCAACACTTAGAAGCAGCTTTTATTAGTCCATGTTCAAATGAAGATAATTTGCATTATAGATGACTGTAGGAAAGAGTGCACTTAGCCTTCATTTTCACCTATTTAAATATAACTGGACAAAGAATTCTGCTTTCATCTACACTATTCTTGATGTAAGACAGACTTACCATCTCTATGCCTGTTATTGTGGACAGACATCTAACTCAGCTAGCGGTATGAGTACATTGAGCTGAGACCTGAGATGTTCACAGCATGTTTTCTATTTCAGGCACAAGCTTTTTCAGGGATTTGACTTTCCTTAACTATTCTCCAGAGAATCCAAAGACAAACATCCCCACCTCACCCCACCCCACTCAGCCCCATACAAACACAGAATGCTTCATAACAGCTCCAGCTCCATGAGCACTAACACAGATGTCCCAACCTGATACCTTCCTTGGGGAATGAATTCAAGTCTTGCTTAGAAAAATAGATAACGTGGATGAAAATGAAATGCAGGTAAGTATTATGGACTACTATGAAAACTGAAAAAGTATATGCTAGCAATCTTTATACCTAAATTTCTCAAATGAATGATGAACTGATAAAAGAAATGGGCTACTAAAATATGAAAGCCTATTTATGTGAATTAGATTGTGTTGTAAGGGCAAGTTTTGAATACATAGCATTAATTTAATAGCATTTGAACAGGATTTTGATATAAAGTAGTCATTATTTTCTGAGTCCCTTAATAGGGTGCAGTATTCCATGTGCAGATGTAAAATATTACTGGGACCACCAGCACCCCCTTTGATGGAATGAAGGCTAACACAGTGAGGACGGTTGACAACAGCATTTTTTAATATATAAGACTCTAATAGAGGGATTATAGAAACACATTTAATATATAATAGTGAACTTTAGTGTACTTACTGTGAAAATAGCACATTTATTTAGAGAGGGAGTTTATGTCCAAAGTTCTTATTGATGTTTTGAAATACATCCATTTCTGTCTCTTGCTGTAATTGCTGTAATTGTTACCAAGAAAAGGAAAAGTACCAACCATTCTCCTTGAGTCCTTATCCAAAGTCTTCTCTTTGTGATTGATATTTCTCAGAGTCATCTAGAATGTCACATTAGTAAAATATTCTAGAAAAACATAAGAGTTTTTGTATTGTGAAGTCTACATTTGCCTGCATTCATGCCTTGTGCACATGGCTTGCCGTTCGATCCTCCACGTACCCTCCTCATAAGTACAGTGACATATGGTGCATTCGTCGGTCTTTACTTCTCTACCAGCTGGGATGACAGCAGTTTCTGCAAAGCAGTTTGGGCCTGGAATGCAGAAAAACATTTCATACTATTGGTTGCATAAATGTACAATGTAAAATATTAGATAAATAGCACTACACTGTGTTTCATTTACCCTCTTAGGAAGTATAGTTAGAAAATCCAGAACTAGAAACACAAAGAACACCAACTTTTTTTCTGAATTGAAACCACTGTTACCTAACATTTTAGGACTAAAGCATTACTATTTTCACATGTAGACTACTCCATTTGGTGGGGGCTTTTTAGAAACTACATCTATAATTATCAGATTTAACTAATGTTAAATAATTACTGAAAGAGCATAGCCAACCAGTAGCTCCAGAACGAGGCTCACTCTTCTTGACAGTCTTAGCAGAGAGAATGCAAACAAGAAAACGGTCATCCCACAACTTCCCACTTGTATTAAAACATCAGATATCACAATTACCAGGAATTCTGTTCAGTTACTGGCTTCAGGCCCCAACACCAGAGTTCCAGTTTAGGGGCCAAATAAGTAAGTTCTTAGGTGATGTTAATGCTTATCTGGAGACCACACAGTTAGAGCAGTACCCGCTGTTACTATGCAGGGGTATGTCTTTCACAGTCCTTAAGAACCAAGAATGCCTGTAAGCCTTGCTAGTAACACCAAGTAAAAGCTGACAGTAAGCCTTTGGTGCTTAAATTTAGGTATAAATTCAAGGGCATGAAAAATGAACAGGAAAAATATTTCCAGTGTGAGTTGAAACTAATGCTATTATAAAAGATTACTTGTTTGGGCCTCAGTTCTCTTAAGTAAGCAGCATTTACCTTCCACTTACTTTCCACCTCTTGGGGATATCCAAGGGCAAACCAGAAGGTATCATGCAAACTCCCAAAAAAGGGAAGCAACAAACTGAACTGTCCTACCCAGCTGTGATACCTGTGAACCACAGCAATGACTAGCATGACACCATAATCCTAAGGGTACTGTTGACACACACACCTTGATGATAGCAACAGCTCTCTAATTGTACATAAGGCCAACTCAACAAGAGGGAAATCATGCCTGGTACTGGAAATCTAGGGATAGTTAGTCCATGGATCTTGGAAGAGAACTTGCAACTGCTACTTTACTAAACCATAATAATCCCTTACTGCAATCTAAATATTGGTCCTTATACCCACAGATGAATATAGTCCTTATCTCTCATCAAGGAAACTTCTCTTTGCAATAGATGGAGATCATTACAGAAAAGCAAAACTAATAAAAATTCACAATTATGAAGCACAGTCCCAACCAATACATTTATAATACAACTTCTGCACCCAAGGTTCAGAGGTTATTGCAAAAGAGGGGACAGAAAACTTTTCAAAGCCAGAGGATAAGGGAGTTTGCTGTGATATTATCCTTATGAATGTCAGAAGCAACATCCATTAAGCCTCATTAATATGGCTGCCTAAACATGAACTAAACAAAGATAATATCAATAGACACACAAGATGGAATGCTTAGGAGGCTTCAACTCTAGGCAAAGAACTACAGGCAACTGAGAAATAATGAGAGTAGAAGTCAAGTCAAGGGAAGAACATACCAATTGGTTATCCAATAACAAGTGTTAACCCTGAAAACATATACATATGTAGGTAGCATATAGAAATAAGCCATTGCTTTTATGTCTGTAGAAACACACACATATAACAACAGATTTTTAAAATGGCAATGAATATGAAAGAGAGTAAGGGAGAATTTGAAGGAAGCTTCAGCAATTGCCCCTTTGGGATGATGGTATAGGGATCTCCTGGTTGGACTAGGGGTAGATAGACATGGGAACTTGAGGGATTGTCTTGGGGGCAAAGGGGGAAAGTGTTGAGATGACTGGAAAGAGGGATTTTACAGAGTGGGGTAGAAGCCTGATACAGTGGAAACTTCCATTAGTCTACAAGGATAGCTACAGCTAAGACTCCTGGCAACAGTAGATGTATAGCCTGAAGTGGATATCTCCAGTGACTGGATTGGTGACAACCTCCGTTGTAGTCAGAAAGCCTTCATCCAGTGATTGATGGAGGTAGATTCAGAGACCAGTGGCCAAACCTTGGGCTGAGCTCAGGGGAGTCTTGCTGAGGAAAGGGAAGAGGAATTGTAGGAGCCAGGAGGTAAGGGTGTCATGCACATCACAGGAAAACCCACAGAAATGGCGAGCCTGGTTCATGGGAGCTCACAGAACTGTACCATCTACCAGGGAATTTTGCATGGGACCAACCTAGACCCTCTGCATAGATGTGACGGTTGTGTATCTTGGCCTATTTGTAGGACTCCCAGCAACTGGAACAAGGGCTGTCCCTGATGCTTTTGACAGGCTCTTGGGATCCTATTCCTCATGCTGGATTGCCTTGTCCAGTCTGAATACATGGGAGGTACTTGGTCTTATGGCAGCTTGATGTATCATGCTTTGCTAACACTCATGGGAGGCCTGCCTCTTTCTGAGAAAAATATGCAGGAGGGGTTGATTGAGGGAAGGAGTGGGGGGAAGTGGGAGGAGAGGAGGGAGGGAAGGCTGTGTTGGAATATAAGATAAATAAACGAATTAAAAATAAAGACATATAGATTCAGCTTTAATTTTTCTCTTGATTTCTAAAATTTTTTATCCCAATCACATTTTCCCCTCTCTCCTCTCTTCGCAGTTCTTACCCCCAGTACACCTCCCCAATCTACTTTGCCTCCTTTTTCTTTAGAAAAGGGAAGACCTCCCATGTATTTCAGCCAGCCATAGCATATCAAATTGCAGTAAGACTAGGTACCTCCTCTCCTATTAAGGCTAGACTGGGCAACCCAGCAGGAGGAAAGGGTTCTAAGAGCAGGCAACAGAGTCAGAGACAGTCTCTTCCCCCACCATTAGGAGTCCACAAGAGGATCAAGCTATACAATTCTAATATTTGTACATAAGGCCTAGGTTTGTCCAGTGCAACTGGTTCAGTTCTCTAGTTGGGAGTTTAGTCTCTGTGAGCCCCTATGAGCCTAAGTTAGTTGATTCTGTGGGTTTTCTTGTGACATCTTGGCCCTTCTGGCTCCCACAATCTTGTCTAATTTTTGGCTATGGGTCTCTGCATCTGTGTTTCCATCAATTGCTGTGTGAAATCTCTCTGATGATAATTGGGCTAGGGACCAATCTATGAATATAACAGAATATCATTGGGAATTATTTCTTTGACTTTTTTTTTTTTTGACAGTCATGTTTGGTTCTATATGGGTCCTGGCACTCCAGGCATTGTCAGGGGTGGGCAACCTCTCATGGCATGGGTCTCAAGGCGCACCAGTCATTGGCTGGCCACTCCCATAAATTCTGTGCCCTCTTTGCCCCAGCATATCTTGTAGGCATGGCCAATTGTAGGTCAAAAGTTGTGTGACTGGGTGGGGATCCCAGTCCCTCCACTGGAAGTCTTGCCTATTTAGAGGTGATGACTGTTTTATGACTGGGAGCTAGATAAACTTCCCTTTTAATAAAGTAGCCTGCCTTGAGTTGTTTTGATATAGTTTATGATCTAATACACCTTGCTTGAAGATCAGAATACTAAGCTTGCCACAGCCATAGAGGCCATGCAGTGGTGGAACATATTTTTAATCCCAGCACTAGAGAGATCAAGGTCTTATGTGGCATTCAGTCTTCAGCCACACTGAGGATAGGATTCACCCCAGCCTTGGTAAAGTGCAGTCTGAGATTGGAGTCTGAGGATTCTTGAAGACAGGATCACCCTTTCAGTCTGAGGTAGAGGTATGAGCTAGTAGCTGGCTGCTTTGATTTTCTGATCTTCAGCTTGAACCTCAATATTTGTCTCTGGGTTTTTAATATTCATACTACATTGAGTATTTTGTTATAATAATAAAAAATTGGTTAAGACAGACATTTAAATAATATATGAGGTTGGCTTTTTTCATACAAAATAACTTTTAGAATAGAAAATTATTTTTCTGTTATCATTTTTGGATGGTAACTTTTAATTGGAATTGTACATCATGTTGCTTGTTTTCTTGCTTAAGATATTTAATCTATAATACATATATTAAGACACTACTACTCTTGTAGTTTAGAAATTATTTTGGGTCAAAATGGTATAAAATGCTTGGTAAATTATATTAATCTTACTCAAATTTAAATTTCAGTAATAGTTTCCAATTATCTACAGCTTTTATATTTCAAGTAGCAATGGTATAAATTAGCCAAGTTATGGGACATTTTTACACTGTAGGAAAATGTATTGCTGTGATTGGTTCAATAGAATGCTGAATAGCCAATAGCAAGAAAGAAGCTAGTTGGGAATTACAGAGGCAATGAGGATTCTGGCAAGAAGAGAACCAGAGAAGCCAGTCAGACACACAGAATGGGACAGAGCTGAAAGCTATGTGGTAGAACATAGAGTGACAAAATTATGGGTTAATTTAAGTTATAAGAGATACTTGGGAACAAATCCAAGCTATAGTCCAGGCTCTCCTAATTAATAAGTCTTTGTGCCATTATTTGTGAGCTGGCTGGCAGAACAGAGAAATACTCATAAATATATGTGTCTCCAAGTGTAGATTCTCTTACTTACTTTATCAAGCATAGTAATTTGTGGTGATATATTACTTATGAATTATTAAAACTGGCCCTCAGGAAGCGAAGTCAGCCTCAAGCTATAGAGATCAAACAGTGGTGATACCTTAATTCCAGAAGCCAGAAACTAGGAGGTGGTGGTACACACCTTTATTCATAGGATTCAGGATTAAGAGTTAGATGGATCTCTGTGAGTTCAAGGCTACCCTGATCTACACAAGATTGATCCAGTCCAAAAGAGAAATGGCTTACATAAATATGATCTTAGCATCTGGGGTCACATGCCTTTAATCTCAGCACTAGAGGGGCATAAAAGGTAGAGGCATGGTCTTCAGTAGTTAATATTAGGCATTCCTTCTCCAGGCCCATTGAAGATAGGAAGTCATTGAAGTCACAGGATTCTCCAGCCATACTAAGGAGAGGCAGCAGTCTGAGGGTTTGGTGGAGCCAACATCA